TGACAGTGACTACACTCTACAGCATGGATGACAGTGACAACACCCTACAGCATGGATGACAGTGACAACACCCTACAGCATGGATGACAGTGACAACACCCCGCAGCATGGACGTCAGTGACAACACGCTACAGCATGGATGACAGTGGCTACATCCTACAGCATGGACGTCAGTGACTACACCCTACAGCATGGATGACAGTGGCTACACCCCGCAGCATGGACGTCAGTGACTACACCCTACAACATGGACGTCAGTGACTACACCCTACAACATGGACGTCAGTACTACACCCTACAGCATGGACGTCAGTGACTACACCCTACAGCATGGACGTCAGTGACTACATCCTACAGCATGGACGTCAGTGACTACACCCTACAGCATGGACGTCAGTGACTACACCCTACAGCATGGACGTCAGTGACTACACTCTACAGCATGGACGTCAGTGACTACACCCTACAGCATGGGACCCGTGAAGATTCCGGGGTAGAATAGGTCTTCAGCAACCCATGCTTGCCGAAAGAGGCGACTAACGGGATCGGGTGGTCAGGCTCGCTGACTTGGTTGATGCATGTCATCGATCCCAACTGCGTGGATCGATGCTCATGATATCAATCACTGGATTGTCTGGTCCAGACTCGATTATTTACGGACCGCCGTCATATACTACACCCCAACAGCAGGGATTCTAATTCCGAGTAAATATTTGCAACTTGCGTAATATTCCATATTCATCCAGCCAGCCATCATCTATTGGAGGTATGCATGTCAACTTGTTTATGAACGAACATTTTTAACTGACTTACAGAGCCGCTGTAACGTTACGTCCACGCGTGTGACCCACTTCAACTGACATTCTCGCAGTCGCCCATGTTGACTTATACAATTGTTAACTTCTCATTAGTTAAAGTTCATGAATTAATGCAAGAGAACGTGTTTTTTCGTTTTGCATGTTTTTGTTGAATAAATGTAAGTGATACTAATATACTGAACTTGAATGGTACCAGCGAGCTATTTTACACAATCCGATGTATCTTGAAAAGTAGTTTGTTTACTGTTGCGGAGGGATACAATTGTTCTGGGTACAGCCGCTAGAAGATTCAAAGGTGGTCAGTGATAGTGTTTATTAAGACTGAGTGTCAGCGAGCTCCAATGCTGTAGATTGGCCACCGATCTACTGCATTAGAGCTCGCTGACACTCTGACCACCGATCAACTGCATTAGAGCTCGCTGACGCTCAGTCTGGCCACCGATCTACCTATTAGAGCTCGCTGACGCTCTGGCCACCGATCAACTGCATTAGAGCCCGCTGACACTCAGTCTTGCCACCGATCTACTGCACAAGAGCTCGCTGACACTCAGTCTGGCCACCGATCTACTGCATTAGAGCTCGCTGACGCTCAGTCTGGCAACTGATCTGCTGCATAAGAGCTCGCTGACACTCAGTCTGGCCACCGTTCTACTGCATAAGAGCTCGCTGACACTCAGTCTGGCCACCGTTCTACCTATTAGAGCTCGCTGACGCTCAGTCTGGCCACCGATCTACTGCATTAGAGCCCGCTGACACTCAGTCTGGCAACCGATCTACTACATTAGAGCCCGCTGACGCTCAGTCTGGCCACCGTTCTACCTATTAGAGCTCGCTGACGCTCAGTTTTGCCACCGATCTACTGCATAAGAGCTCGCTGACACTCAGTCTGGCCACCGATCTACTGCATAAGAGCCCGCTGACACTCAGTCTGGCCACCGATCTACCTATTAGAGCTCGCTGACGCTCAGTCTGGCCACCGATCTACCTATTAGAGCCCGCTGACGCTCAGTCTGGCCACCGATCTACCTATTAGAGCTCGCTGACGCTCAGTCTGGCCACCGATCTACCTATAAGAGCCCGCTGACACCCAGTTTGGCCACCGATCTACCTATAAGAGCCCGCTGACACTCAGTCTGGCCACCGTTCTACCTATTAGAGCTCGCTGACACTCAGTCTGGCCACCGATCTACTGCATTAGAGCCCGCTGACACTCAGTCTGGCCACCGATCTACTACATTAGAGCCCGCTGACGCTCAGTCTGGCCACCGTTCTACCTATTAGAGCCCGCTGACGCTCAGTCTGGCCACCGATCTACCTATTAGAACTCGCTGACGCTCAGTCAGACTCGATTATTTACGGACCGCCGTCATATACTACACCCCAACAGCAGGGATTCTAATTCCGAGTAAATATTTGCAACTTGCGTAATATTCCATATTCATCCAGCCAGCCATCATCTATTGGAGGTATGCATGTCAACTTGTTTATGAACGAACATTTTTAACTGACTTACAGAGCCGCTGTAACGTTACGTCCACGCGTGTGACCCACTTCAACTGACATTCTCGCAGTCGCCCATGTTGACTTATACAATTGTTAACTTCTCATTAGTTAAAGTTCATGAATTAATGCAAGAGAACGTGTTTTTTCGTTTTGCATGTTTTTGTTGAATAAATGTAAGTGATACTAATATACTGAACTTGAATGGTACCAGCGAGCTATTTTACACAATCCGATGTATCTTGAAAAGTAGTTTGTTTACTGTTGCGGAGGGATACAATTGTTCTGGGTACAGCCGCTAGAAGATTCAAAGGTGGTCAGTGATAGTGTTTATTAAGACTGAGTGTCAGCGAGCTCCAATGCTGTAGATTGGCCACCGATCTACTGCATTAGAGCTCGCTGACACTCTGACCACCGATCAACTGCATTAGAGCTCGCTGACGCTCAGTCTGGCCACCGATCTACCTATTAGAGCTCGCTGACGCTCTGGCCACCGATCAACTGCATTAGAGCCCGCTGACACTCAGTCTTGCCACCGATCTACTGCACAAGAGCTCGCTGACACTCAGTCTGGCCACCGATCTACTGCATTAGAGCTCGCTGACGCTCAGTCTGGCAACTGATCTGCTGCATAAGAGCTCGCTGACACTCAGTCTGGCCACCGTTCTACTGCATAAGAGCTCGCTGACACTCAGTCTGGCCACCGTTCTACCTATTAGAGCTCGCTGACGCTCAGTCTGGCCACCGATCTACTGCATTAGAGCCCGCTGACACTCAGTCTGGCAACCGATCTACTACATTAGAGCCCGCTGACGCTCAGTCTGGCCACCGTTCTACCTATTAGAGCTCGCTGACGCTCAGTTTTGCCACCGATCTACTGCATAAGAGCTCGCTGACACTCAGTCTGGCCACCGATCTACTGCATAAGAGCCCGCTGACACTCAGTCTGGCCACCGATCTACCTATTAGAGCTCGCTGACGCTCAGTCTGGCCACCGATCTACCTATTAGAGCCCGCTGACGCTCAGTCTGGCCACCGATCTACCTATTAGAGCTCGCTGACGCTCAGTCTGGCCACCGATCTACCTATAAGAGCCCGCTGACACCCAGTTTGGCCACCGATCTACCTATAAGAGCCCGCTGACACTCAGTCTGGCCACCGTTCTACCTATTAGAGCTCGCTGACACTCAGTCTGGCCACCGATCTACTGCATTAGAGCCCGCTGACACTCAGTCTGGCCACCGATCTACTACATTAGAGCCCGCTGACGCTCAGTCTGGCCACCGTTCTACCTATTAGAGCTCGCTGACGCTCAGTCTGGCCACCGATCTACCTATTAGAGCCCGCTGACGCTCAGTCTGGCAACCGATCTACCTATTAGAACTCGCTGACGCTCAGTCTGGCCACCGATCTACCTATAAGAGCCCGCTGACACCCAGTTTGGCCACCGATCTACTGATTGGAGCCCGCTGACAATCAGTCTGGCCACCGATCTACTGCATTAGAGCTCGCTGACACTCAGTCTGGCCACCGATCTACTGCATTAGAGCCCGCTGACACTCAGTTTGGCCACCGATCTACCTCAATGGAGGTCGCTGGCAGTCAGTCTTGCCACCGATCTACCTCATTGGAGGTCGCTGACACTCAGTCTGGCCACCGATCTACTGCATTAGAGCTCGCTGACAGTCATTCTGGCTACCGATCTACCTCATTGGTGATCGCTGACACTCAGTCTGGCCACCGATCTACTGCATAAGAGCTCGCTGACGCTCAGACTGGCCACCGATCTACCGCAACCATCACAGTGGAACTGTCAGTATGATCACAGATTATTATCACCCGATCTTCACCCATGTGAGACTGTTTTACTACAGCATATGGGACTGGACACCTAACATAATCCGACATCAGCACTGGACAATGCGGGAAACATCATACGTTCCTGGTGCAATGCTGTGACGACATTCGACTAATAAAGTCCGGAAAGGGCATTTTATCATCGAATCGAGACATTTTATATGTATTTTTTCGGCGGAATGCTAATGGAGGAAGCCCCAATACGCCCCAACATTTTCTGTTTCTGTAAGCACGTTCTGTGGTACTAAAAAGGTTATTTTCGTTAACTGTTGAAGATAAGATGCCAGCAGTAGAAGTTTTAATTACAAAGAAAAATGGTTTGGCAGTTGTAATTGGCTTGTTTGATTCATCGTTAATCTTCACACCGTGTAGGGAATTAGCCTAATTTGCTAGTTTCCTTCACAGAGTAGAGGTAACAACACTGAGATTGTCAGACTCATAACATCGCCATGGAGTCACTCTGGGAATAGAACAAGCCCGTCAGGAATTGTGCGTGAAGAAATGAGGCAAGTGGACGATTTTGACAGCGGACTTTGCGCTTTCTTTTATTCATCACTGAATTCACAGACGTAACATCACCATTTCACAGATATGAAACATAATTAAACTCCTCCAAGTACGAACATTGAATTATAATACGACATCCCACCACGGTGTTGGGTTCTTCAGAAGCGGCAGCACCTGCCCAGGTCCTGTTTCACAAAGCGATCTTAGAAACCCCTCTGTCCTAAGTCTGTTGTTTGTTTGTTTGTTTGTTTGTTGTTTAATGCCGCAACACTCCACCAATATGACCGCGGTCTGTACTTAATGAAATCTGGACCAGACAATCCAGTGATTGACATCATGAGCCTCGATCCACGCAATTGGGATACGATGACATGCATCAACCAAGTCAGCGAGCCTGACCACCCAAACCCGTAAGTCGCCTCTTACGACAAGCTAGGCTAAAGTGTGGGTGTTACGACAGTGTCGTAGTGTTATGGTCGGTTTGTTAAGAGGGGTTTGTTTTCAGAATTGACATGGAAATCGGTTGTTAGTGCTTGTGACACAGTTACCATCACAAGAACTAAAGAGTGTTTACCTCAACAGTGGGAACATCGTATACTATGAATTCGACACCAATCAATTATATTTTCGAAATTAAATAATTACAGATTGTATCCTATTGTACGAATACCTAGGTTTACAGTACCACAATGAAAGCTGTAATGACTGCATCCTGCTAATCGCTTTGTTCGAAGTACTCCTTCAAGCACACAGTCCCCTAATCAGGATCTGGGAAGGACGTTACAGGGATGTGTAGGATGTTACCGACCACAGACACGCTCATATAATGGGGCTTAAGAAGTATGTCGGCAATAGGTTTGTTGATTGTACATTTTGTTGCCTAGGTGCTTTATCATCCTGAACTAGCTTCCACATGCGATGTGGCTTGGGTAAGATATCTCCTTAGCGATATCACTACAATGATGCTGCATCACAATGCTTTGTAGAACATTGTGACGTCATCGTTTACCATGACATCACCATCAAATTACATATTAATATCTGTCACTGAAACTGTACTCTTTCCACTCGAGACATTGGTTATTACTGTATTTAAATCGCAAAGAACAATGAAGAACAAAGCGTGGTTTATTTTACGATAAAACACTGTTGTATCACTACGTCATTTCTGGACATGCGAACATGCGCTCGCAACTTGATGACGTCGCAAATTAGACGACGCTATTTTTGAGAGTTAAGTGTCTCGTGTGTTGTTCCCCATAGATGTGGCTGGGCAGCGCAGTGGCCGAACGATCGCACCCAAAAGTGGGAAAGATATGACAATCGGTAGTGGGAGAAAGGGTACAGATACTCGACGTGACACTTGTGAGAATTTGCGGGAGAGACCAAATGTATCCCCCCTGTTCATAAATGGACTTGTCCGACGTTACCGCAGTCGGATTCTATTCAGGGAGTCATCATTTTTTAAATGCGGGTAAATAAGTTTAAAGCGTGTACTTTTTACAAACATCCTTAAGGAGGTGGTACGTAATGACAATCGCTCATATAAGAAATAAACGACCCGCGGTCGTTGTTTATCGTACAATAAAACCCTGCATTGAGAATAAACTCGGGGGGTTATCCCCCCTGCAGCGTTTTATAGTACAATAAACAACTGCACTCGTCGTTTGTTTCTTAATTACAAACAGAAACAAACTGAAAAATGATAAACAGAACCTCACTCTTGTGTCTTCGAATATCAAATGTACCAACACTCGCCAATAACAGATAAAAACAACACCTCAGCAAGCCTTTCATACATTTGATAACAAAAGACACTCGGGTGAGATTCTCCATTGGCCACTATACATTCCTTGGAGTATCAAATACTAGCGTGTGTGACTCGTTCACTAACTGACGACATGGGGAGATACGGACTGTTGTCCCTAAAGCGTACCAGGATCCGCTGATATATGGGTTCGAACCCAAGACCTGAATGTGGTCCATAACCTCCAAGAAGAGTCCTCTTATCTGTCACTAAGTAGTTTTTAATGGTAGCCGTGTTATATCAAGCAAACATCCATGTTAACGTACAAAGCACGGACGTGGTATGGAAACTTGACTTTGTTTTTTTTGCCAGGACGGAAAAGAGATAATCATATGGCCACGAGTGGGGCATGAGTCAACTTTCGGCTATTTCCGGAAGGACACGAGTGGCCACGAATGCACCATGCCCTTGCTCTTGGATTTCGACTTCCAGCGTCATCTTGGATTTTTTCACCCGAAGCTGACATGACTTGACAATCATAAAACTATCCACAGTGGCGTACCATCCAATCTCACTCATCCCCCAGTCGATGGTTAAGATGAAAGAAAACGTTGTTTTTTTATTTTCATGTGTTAGTCTTTTATTTGTTGTGACGTCTGATGCAGGTAGACCCCCACTCTCACTATTCAGGTCTTTCCTTGATGTTGGATACACTAGCTGTGTCAAGGTCTCTTTGTGGTCACTGCTGAAACATGAGTTCGTCTTGGTGATTGGATTAAGACGCCGTTTCTGCTGCAGATGTTTCGTGTTTCCCGTTATCTTTTCTTCGACTACACAGGTGTTTCGTCAAACACAGCACGAAGGAAAAACCTGCTCCACGGCTCCCGAGATCCTACACGCATCACTGAATAACATCCGTGTCTGATGTTGGTTTAGATTTCTGGGAGAATTCAGTTGTGTGACAACGGGGACTTCCGTCACAGAACACCGACCCTCACAGCGTCGCACCTTGAAGCTGAATCGCAACAAATCCTAGTCATCCCTTTTCATGGACGCCATTCTCATTCCTGCATTGGGAGCTATTAAGGAGCTGTTCTTGGCCAGTGTTCGCCGACGCCATTTCTATATGGTCAGTCTGCTCGGTCACAACGTCGAGGTCATCTTCACTGCGGTTGCAGCACCCACAGCAGGCCTGTCTGATCTCAGGAACAAGGATCCAGAATAGAGGTCGGATACCCGGGCATGCTGACCGAAGCCAACTAAGCGCCTGCATCATCTTGACCGTTGATTCACACGTCGCGTCCACGCAATTGGGCTGTAACATCGATATGGCGCCAAATGGGAGCTGCATTGCCAAGGTGCAGAAGTTGACCAGGCACAATGACGTCACAATAGATCTATGACCTCGTTTGATGGTCTTCTTGTCCAATCGCTGTCCGTTAAATATTACGCTGGTTAGCTCTCCGAGTTCGTCTGGAAACCCTCCAATGACTGTGACCAACACAAGGACTGTCAGCACCATGATGTTAATAGCTGGAATGTACAGAGATATCAATGATGACGCCAACATCGCCTCACCTGTTATACCATAGATGCAAAACTCGGGATGGGGCTCCTGAACAGACGACAGCAGCCACATGGGCGACAAGATGCCGCTGCTTACTACCCACGGCACCAAGATGACCAGACTTCGTGAGAGCCATTTACAGAATAGCTTGTAGTACAACGGTGGTCGGAGAGCAAATATAAGCCGGTCCAGGTTTAGTGTTATAATGATTATCAGGGACACAAAAGGTAAAATGGCATCCAGGATCATCCACGCTTTACACACGTGTTGACCAAGTTTCCACGGCTCCAGATCATAGTATACTGTCACTGTATCCACTAGCATGCTGTAGGCGAGGTCGGATGCCGCCAGGTTAATTACTTGGGCATAGATGTACCGGTTGTGGGCCTGACGTCGACAGATGAGCAGGATAATGAGAAAGGAGTTCACAAGAAAGTTCCACAAGCAGATGAAGATTCCGAAGCCTGCACTGTGAACAAAGCCGCGCTCGTACGAGCTGTTGTGATAGTCAGCCCACACATCGTCTGTGACGGCGAAGGGTGGCGTGCTGTTGGACGTCATCTGCAACAAACAAAGCAAGACACTGCTAGTATGGAGGCAGAGTGGTCATTTGACTACCACTGTCATATTCGCCAGTCTTGTTACTACCACTGTCATATACATCAGTCATGTCACTACCACTGTCATATTCGCCAGGCTTGTCACTACCACTGTCATATTCGCCAGGCTTGTCACTACCACTGTCATATACACCAGTCATGTCACTACCACTGTCATATTCGCCAGGCTTGTCACTACCACTGTCATATACACCAGTCATGTCACTACCACTGTCATATACACTAGTCATGTCACTACCACTGTCATATACACCAGTCTTGTTACTACCACTGTCATGCACACCAGTCTTGTCACTACCATCGTCATACACACCAGTCTTGTCACTACCACTGTCATATACACCAGTCTTGTCACTACCACTGTCATATACACCAGTCATGTCACTACCACTGTCATATACACCAGTCATGTCACTACCACTATCATATACACCAGTCTTGTTACTACCACTGTCATATACATAAGTCATGTCACTACCACTGTCATACACACCAGTCAGTCATGTCACTACCACTGTCATATACACCAGTCAGTCATGTCACTACCACTGTCATATACACCAGTCAGTCATGTCACTACCACTGTCATTTCAGTCACATGGCAACATACTATTTGCCTCTGTATTTGAACTGTATACGTTCTATATCGGCACATAATCAGATAGTTTTTTCACTCACTGGTACACAACACAAGCTTAGCAAACATGATGAAATCGGTTTCAGACACAGTACGGTTAAACGTACACCAACCACCGTGTCACAGCAGTTTCTCATGCCGTACAATGCCCACAATGCGGTATTCAGCCATGCTTGAGTCTGGTTCAGATGGCAATGAGGTGATACGTGCCAGCAGAATGACTACCTCACATTTCAAAACTTAGATTTATCAACTGGGGGCCGAACTTTTTTTGCCACAATATGACATTGCTGCAAGGTGATTTTCTTAAGAAACCTATTCAGGCTCAACAGTTTTAACTTTTTTTTAAATCTGGATTTGCAGCGCTGATCATATCTCCAGACAAACCTACCACATGAGGACCCAGGTTGTAATTGTTAGTCGTGAGAAGACCCCATGGGGACCCAGGGTGCAATATGTCACGGCACTCTTTTGTCTGCCGTGAGAAGACCCCGTGGGAACCCAGGTTGTAATAGGTCTCCAACGCTCTATTGTTTGTTGTGAGAAGACCCCGTGGGGACCCAGGTTGTAATAGGTCTCCAGCACTCTATTGTTTGTTGTGAGAAGACCCCTCGGGGACCCAGGTTGTAGTAGGTCTCCAGCACTCTATTGTTTGTTGTGAGAAGACCCCGTGGGGACCCAGATTGTAATTTGTCCCCGGCACTCTATTGTCTATCGTTAGAAGACCCCGTGGGGACCTAGGGTGCACTTTATTGTTAGTCGTGAGAAGACCCCGTGGGGACCAAGGGTGCAATATGTCCCCGGCACTCTATTGTTTGTCGTGAGAAGACCCCGTAGGGACCCAGGTTGCAATATGTCCCTGGCACTCTATTGTTTGTCGTGAGAAGACCCCGTGGGGACCAAAGTTGCAATATGTCCCTGGCACTCTATTGTCTGTCGTGAGAAGACCCCGTGGGGACCCAGGGTGCAATATGTCCCCGGCACTCTATTGTTTGTCGCGAGAAGACCCCATGGGGACCCAGAATGCAATATGTCCCCGGCACTCTATTGTTTGTCGTGAGAAGACCCCGTGGGAACCGAGGGTGCAATATGTCCCCGGCACTCTATTGTTTGTCGTGAGAAGACCCCGTAGGAACCCAGGGTGCAATATGTCCCTGGCACTCTATTGTCTGTCGTGAGAAGACCCCGTGGGGACCCAGGGTGCAATATGTCCCCGGCACTCTATTGTTTGTCGCGAGAAGACCCCATGGGGACCCAGAATGCAATATGTCCCCGGCACTCTATTGTTTGTCGTGAGAAGACCCCGTGGGAACCGAGGGTGCAATATGTCCCTGGCACTCCATTGTTTGTCGTGAGAAGACCCCGTGGGGACCCAGGATGCAATATGTCCCCGGCACTCTATTGTTTGTCGTGAGAAGACCCCGTGGGGACCAAGGGTGCAATATGTCCCCGGCACTCTATTGTTTGTCGTGAGAAGACCCCGTGGGGACCCAGTGTGCAATATGTCCCCGGCACTCTATTGTTTGTCGTGAGAAGACCCCGTGGGGACCCAGGGTGCAATATGTCCCCGACACTCTATTGTTTGTCGTGAGAAGACCCCGTGGGGACCAAGGGTGCAATATGTCCCCGGCACTCTATTGTTTGTCGTGAGAAGACCCCGTGGGGACCAAGGGTGCAATATGTCCGCGGCACCATATTGTCTGTCGTGAGAAGACCCCGTGGGAACCAAGGGTGCAATAGGACCACGCCCGGTTTGTCGTGAGAGGAGACTATACCGGATCCAATGATTAGACCTGACGTGCCACGACGGTGTTGATCGTTGTTCATGTTGTCAGTCACTGATATGCCTGGTCCAGTTTCTAGGCAACCGTGACGTAGCAAAATATTGCTGCCTGCGACGTTATACAACACTTACTCATGTAGTCGAACTCAATAGCAACTAGACCCGTGAAGATCCAGGGTAGAATAGGTCTTCAGCAACCCATGCTTGCCGTAAAGGAGACTATGCTTGTCGTGAGAGGCGACTAACGGAATCGGATGGTCAAGCTTGCTGACTTGATTGATGCATGTCATCGTATCCCAATAACGTGAAGCGATGCTCATGATGTAAATCACAGGATTGTCTGGTCCAGACTCGCATATTTACAGACCGTCGTCATATAGGTGGAATATTGCTGAGTCGGCGTTAAACACCAAACAAACAATAGCAACTAAGGCCGTGATCCTGCTTCCATAATCATCACCGTTGTTGTGATGGAAACATGAGGAAGATCGATCACCTACGGACATAAGTCCGAGCACATTTCCTGCATCTTCTGCATGATGCCATATCAGGATAGCGTTGACGTACTAACCTATCCGTGTACATCAACTCAAACACATTACCTGTGATTGAAACAGGCGTGATTGAGGCCATTAATGTGTGCCATGCGCGCAGTTGCTGATGGTGTACCTTGCCAGGCGAAGATAGAACTGATACAAGACTTGATTAGGAAGTGAAAAAGTTTCGTTACGGAAACACCTGCTCTTGACAAATATGTTCTGTACAGATAGTAACAGGTAAGATAGTTTCGTGTGAAATGGTATTTACATGAGACTATACAAAGAGTTCGGTGATCAATTATAACAGGTGTTTTCTTTGGTGATCAGTGCGATGGGAAGCAAATCTATTTTACCAACATTTGGAATACAGTTTTCACGGAAGCTGTATAAGATACGCAAATACGACCTATAAAGAGTTTGTTTGGTGAAAGACTAGAGGATTTAAGTAGAAAAACGCGAATGTGTCGATGCAAAAACAAGTTGGGCCTCGTGAAAAAAGCTCGTTCTGTTATTTATGAGTGTGCACGTGCAGTGTATAACGAACGTTACACGTGGAAATTACATGGTAGATAACATTATGAACTTTGCAGTTCTGCTTGTTTGAGCTTCTTGGAAAGATTTATGAAATTGATTTTTTCTATTTTGTTGTTTTTATTCATGTTTGTTTGGTTCGTTGTCTTTGTTCGGTTTTTAACGCCCTACTCAGCAATATCCCAGCTATATGACAGCGGTTTGAAAATAATCGAGTCTGGACCAGATAATCCAGTGATTGACATCATGTGCATCGATCTACGCAATTGTGATACGATGACATGCATCAACAAAGTCAGCGAGTCTGACCACCCGATCCAGTTAGTCGCATCTAACGACAAGCATGGGTTGCTGATGACCAATTCTAACCCGGAATCTTATCCGGACTGTTTGTTTGATGAGAGGGTTGATTTGTGTTGTTGTTATTTGATGTTGGCTTGTTATTGTTGTACTGTGAATGTGTTTTATATATTTATTTATTTGTTTGTGTGTTTGTTTTTGTCTCTCTTTTATTACTTTTTTCATCTTGCACCTTGCACCTGGCATATCAATTAACAAGGTATAGATGAAACAGTAAAGATTATGGTCAGGAGTTTTTAATGAATATAAGATAAAAAAAAATATGTTTGAACAAAGGATGAATATATCACAGTGAGTGAGTGAGGTTTTACGCCGCTTTTAGCTATATACCAGCAATATCACGGCGGGGGACACCAGAAATGGGCTTCACACATTGTAACCATGTCGGGAATCGAACCCGGGTCTTCGGCGTGACGAGCAAACGCTTTCACCACTAGGCTACCCGACCGCCCGAATATATAAGAGGTCATATTAAAGACAACTACGGAAACTATGACAATCTGGAATCATCAAACACCATACAAGCACAAGTCAAGTCGCCCTGCCAAATATAATCTATAAAGTCTCAGTATGAGGTGTGAGTGCGCGGGAGGTTGACGGCATAGTTCCGGCATCAGTAGGTGACTTTGTTGAAATGGAGGTCTTTCATGAGCCCGTATAGTCCGTTGCGATTTGTCCCAACAGTCAGTCAAGGAATGAATGGTGCCAATTAGGATCCAAGGATCAATGAACCCCTTCAACACGGTTGTTGGTTGTTGGCAGTGACCTATTTCATTCCAAAGTGTACGGTATTGGGTTCTTTTCGTGAACCCAATTACACACACGGGTTCTTTTTGCCAACTCTCGGGTGACATTACTGAGAAGCACAGGCAATATCTTTAGACACATTCGTTCACCAACGAACTCCAAGAGTCACGTTTTGTATGGCCGACGGGGGATATCTTAGATATTCATGATCGCGAAAGTAAAACAAGATTCACGCCACTATCAATAAAAGGCAATACAAAACAATAAAACGATTCGATTTACTGTAACATATCACAGCAGACGATTGAATGACTCTTGTTTTACCCCGCAGCCAGCGTTGTTACAACTGTTTATTATGTTGTTTAACGCTGCACTCACCAACACTGAGGCTGTTTTATGGAGGTCTGTAAATAATCGAGTTCTGGACCAGACAATCCAGCGATTGACATCATGAGCATCGATCCACGCAATTTGGATACGATGACGTGGATCAACCAAGTCAGCGAGCCTGACCACCCGATCCCGTTAGTCGCCTCTTACGACAAGTATTGGTTGTTGATGAGTAATTCTAACCCGGATCTTCACGGTTGTATTCGAACTGCCACCGGGTATATTCCAACTGTAACACGAGTGTTTGTAAAAACTCGTTGCACGACAAGCAACGAAACAAGCTACTGGGGCCTGATGACACCAACAGCCAGGTGACCCATTGTATCAACGTCATCCTCAGTCTGTTTGCGGATTACAGGGCGCTATAGTTCAGATCAAAATACGTCAATGTATTCCATTATAGATATTACATGTATTTTTAAT